ATGGAAAGTACTTTGCGTTGACTCATGTTGAAATACAGTAAATTTTTGGATTGACCATTGATATACCTTATGTAGGTCACTCTAAAGCAGGCGCTGGTCTGCGTTCACTTGGATCCTGCGCCAAATCTTGATATCATCGACAAACATTAGGAAGTTTGAAGCGAATCTCTGTTCAAGGTCATTAATAAACATCAAAAACAAACGTGGATCTAGTACTGAGCCCTGTGGTACACCAAACTCGATAAAGAGCTCAGAGCTTTGACCACTATTTACCGTTGAAGTAGAAAAATGACAAGCCAGCATATAAGAGGGTCTCCGACCCAGTGATGTTGTAGCTTGGAGAGTAGTATCCGATGGTCTAGACGATCGAAAACCTTCGTAAAATCTAGGTAGATCACGTCAGTGCCTTCTCCAGCGTCAGCTGCCTCAGTCTAACTACTGCGTGCGATTAGTAAAGTCGCTGTGCATGACCGCTGTCGACGGAAGCCGTGCTGCTCAGCCGTGATTATGTTGCCTTTTTCAGATAACACACCAGTGCATCGGCAACAATTCCATGACTTTGGAAAGTATAGGAAGAAGGGATATTAGGCGGTAGTTGAAGGGCTCAGTTCTGCTTCCACATTTGTGAATCGGGGTCATTATTCCAGGCTTTTACATAGCGGGAACCTGGTTCTGGTCTAAGCAGAGCTGGAAAAACAGGTAAAGGTCTTGCCAGTTGGCTTGCTGCTGTTTCCAGTGCATCTGGACGAAGGGTATCGACACCCGGCGAGCTGTTTGCATAGAGACATCAGCTTTTGCAATACAGCCTCCGCGGTAAAAGTGATGTGGGTCAGTTCGGGGGGAGAGACGACAAAGGCTGGAAGATCGCTTGGTGGGAAGTCTCTGAAACGTGGGGGCATATTACATCCGCGGCATGTTTGCTGCTTCCATAGCCGTTCTTGTTAAGCCATCGACCATCCTGAGTGGAGCAAATCCTTATCCCACCTTTCGTAGGCTATTGACGTGTTTGTGCAGCAGTCCGTGGTTAGCGATGCTCTGCGGCTTTGTCTTCTCTTAGCAGTTGAGTGCAGTGGTTACGTTGGGCTACGTAGTTGTCCCAAGTTTCGTGTGCTGAACCTTCTCTGTACACTCGTCATGCTGCGTTGCGTACGTTCATCCATTTTCGAGTTCTGCTCCTAACGAAAAAACCTGATTTACACATATTGCCAACTCTTATCTCTGAAGCCCCTGTCATCAGCTGACAGAATTAGTTGACGAATTGGAGCCAGGCGACCTCTGGGAGTTCTTCGGCAAGTAACGACCAAGTTGTAGCACTGACGAGCTGGGCTAGTCGATCGTAGCTTGTGATGGTTCGCACAGTCTCACCGTTATCATCCCGATATTCCACATACCAGACGAAGTTGAAATTGATGACTGAGTGATCACCGCGACCAAACGGATGGTATACAACTAACACATCAATCACATGCTCCTTGGTGGTAAGTATAAGATCCAGCCCAGATGGCCTGTTACCTGTTGTGAACTGAGTGGGCAAAGTGATGCGACTAAAAGGAGGAACAGTGGTTACGAGATCATGTAGATCGGCTTTGAATTGTTTTCCGAACGTGGCAGGAATTTTCAAACAATGTATGGAAAAAGATGGAGTATACAGTGACCAAGCAATGAGTACTATATCTGTTGCGTGCACAGTAAACTAGGATGATTGTGACAAGGACAAAATCTTCGAGATAACGATAAATTTTGCGCAAAGATGAATGCGGTGAAAGGACCGATGTAGTTTTTATTCGTACAATCCAATTAAGATAGATAAAAAACACAAGGTGCAAGAGGAGCGAGGGACCTGCAGGAAGAGACGGGCAGAAAACAATCGATGTGTTACCAAATTTTATGACCAACGGAGCATGTATATTCGATAAAAGGAGCAACAATAGACCAAATGAATGGGTCACCTGTGTTGCCATAACCTGACTGTGGCCACGTAGTAAGACCATATGAGCAACAGCGGCGACGACAACAAACGTTGAATCACCAAATGTTGCTAGTTCACTGGAGTGGATGGGGTTCGAACTAAGGCCCCATGTACAGCAAGTGTCAGTTGATAAGAAACCCATCTACGCTTCGTGATCAGAACCTCGGAACCGCATATGACTCGGACGATGCCTATAGCAAGGAACCACATCACCTTTGGATTTCGGTGGTTAGCGATTATCTTAGCCCCAACGACATGCAGTAGCAAACCAGTTACGAGTGCTTTAAGCAAATTCTCACTTTCGATACTGATACATTTCAATAAGTAAGGAATTGGCCAATTTGAATCCCGTAAGCTATAATTGTCACAAGCTCGTAAGATAGTGAATTTCGATGTGAAAAATTAATGATATTAGTACTGTTATATACTCCCCAAAACATTCGTCAGCTAAGAAATAGTTCTCGCTTCACACAGTCGAGACAGAGCGCCCTGCAGACATGCACATGGCAGACTTACAACACTACATAAATCACCAGTCATGGATTACAGAACGTCATAAGATGCCTCACCTGATCCAATGCGAGCCTGGATATGGTGTTACTTAACAATGTAAATGTGTTCGCGATGTATAACAGGGAGCCGCTTGGCAGTTTTGATCAGACGAAAGTTAGGCTGTGTTCTGTTTCCTACTCTAAGACAAACCATAAAGAATCTACTCGTTGCAAAGACCGCAAGTTTAAGTGGAGGAAATGTTCCGTACAGAATACTGAACGAGTAAGAGTCATGGTGCTATCCACCGACTTCAGTTTACTGATAACGCCGACGTGGCCAGGTATTGCTTTCAAATGACAAACTATCCGAGCGACTGCCGTTCATGTGAAGCAGCTACACTCAGATAAGGCGAGCGGTGCAGACAAAGTACCTCCTGTTGTTCTAAAGGAGTATGTTGACTTCTAGCTACTTTACGTACACTCTGTGCACAGAACAGCATAAGTTGTTAACTACCGGGGAAGTGTCATTATTACACAGTACGGAAAAAAAACCAAGGCATTTGAAAAGATCATCTTGAGAAGATGCTGACAAAAAAGACAATGATCTCTTTCAATTTATCTACCGCGATTCGAAGTTATTGCAAGACGCACTAGCCTACCTTGTGCATTCGGTTCTGTCATCGTTGGATAACAGAATCAATTTCATCTACCAAACCTGTTTTCTGGACCACATTAATGTATTTGGATTCGTAAACCGTGAGTTGTGGAAAGATCTACCCGGTGGTGGAATACATCCACCCATGGTTGAAGGAGTATTTTGCCACCCGTACTCAGGTTATCCAACTTGGAGGTAGCTTTTCGCCCCTAATCAAACACACCGTGGTTCACCATAGAGCTGCTATGTTACCATTTCTATTTTCCACTTGTCAGCTCGATAGCAATTTCTGAGGAGGTCACCCTACTGAAGTAGGCAGAGGACATCGTCCCGGGAGTCAATCAATCGACGATTGCATCTTCAGTCAGACTACTATATATTCTGAACGATCTGACGGTTTAGCTGAGAGTCCCCGAGCTGTTGTTTAAGATGTTAAAAATGTAATAATGTCGCTTTTTCATTGCACTTACGTGATACGTATCAGCAGCTCATCGATAGCCAGGAGCTGCATTGTTTCGTACCAGTGAAGTAGGTAGGTGCCAAGATTCACTACATTAGTGTTGGTCACATCATATGAGTAAAACATTCACAAAACTCAAACCATGGCTCTACGAGCTATCTGTCCCGAACGATCTGATACGTCTTTTTATCACTGCTCATGTTCTTCCACACTGGATGTACCGAGTAACCACAACAGATTAATTGCCAAGATGTGAAAATACTTGTTCCGATGTAGCGGTGTGTCAAAGCTGACTTTTGAGGATATACTTGTGTCCACCTATCTTGGTGCTTGCAAGAGACTAGAGTCAACAGCACTTACCAACATCGACATGCGTGTCGATCTCGTCAACCAGACAGATTTAAAAGCCCACATATATCCAAATAATCGCCTACCGTTCTTTAGTTACCACTTATCAAGTGCGACTTTTGCTAGACCCCAACAAAGTCGTCCGAGGTATGATGATATTATACTTTCCGGTTACTAATCCACTTTTTGAGTTGCATTTATATTTTACCACATGGCTGAAAGCGTGTGTGCTACAGCAAAATATGCACCCGTCCTGTGTATCTAAGATGCTTGCTTGACTTTACTCCACTCAGTGGGAAATTATATTGAAACAGTATTAGAGTATTACGTCTTCTACTAACTGTCTACTAACAAGAAACCGCGTACATACGGGTATTCAATTGGACGCAATTTAGTATCGTGCCTTCAAACTGCCACTGAGGGTGATAACAATACCGGCAACGCTTCGAGAAACATTGACTTTGCATCGGTGGAGACGCAATGGGGCCCTACTCATTGAAAGATGAGTAAGGGGGACAAATATAACATGCTATTGGTTTGCTGGTGTGTTTGGATATTTAGTCCGTGTCAG